TCAATTCGGCTTTATAAGCACTGGAACGACAATTGCGAAAGAGCGATCGTTTAACTGTCACGTTTTTGAGGCCCGCGAAAAAGAGAGCAAAATAGCTGGCAGATCTATGGAGGAATTCGTTGTTGTCGAGTTGGATGACTGCCTTTGAGTAGTTGACATGCTCAAGAGGTGGTATCATCAGGCGTATAGCATAGCTGCGGCCATTGTCATCCCAATTAAATGCTTCTTTACTCGTGCTAAAAAGCGTGTTTGTAATGGTTAGTTGAACTGATGTTTGACCGTGAAATGTGAACATGGCGTCGTATATATTATCGATAAAGGAGCATTTATCGATGAAAATGTCAATTGGAAAAGAACCGTTTTTCGCCGGTCTTTGTATAGTTTGTAATGCATATCTATGAGAGATGAGTGTAACGTTGAATAGCTTAATGCGGTAATTGGGACTAATGAACAAAGCTACTTTATTGTTTAATTTGTTTTGTATTAGACTGTTCGAAATTGTTACCATCCCCGCATTGCCATTTCTGGAGATTATGTAGATTATATTTCCTCCCGTTGCTTCCTTTGAAGTGTCCTTAAAAACGCATTTTGAAATTGTAATGTTACTTTTGCCTCCAGTGGTAACCAGACTGAAAGCTCCGTAGCCTGTTGTTACCATGTCCTTCATGAACGTGGATCCCTCTAATGTCACAATTCCACCATCTAGCACAACGTCTATAGCAATGCATCTTTATGCTCTTTGTCCAGGATTTCCTTCCCATTGTTGAACTGTTACATTTCTGAGCGTAAAATTTAACTTGCGAGGACCCCACTGGATTTTTTACGAGCCTTGAACGGTTCTTGCAATTGATATTACGCATCCATAACCATTTCTGGCTTTGCATCTACTAAATGTAACATTGGCGAGGTCGACTTTTAAAATTCCGCGTTTGCTATTGGCAAAAAGTGATCCGCCAGCACGAGCTTCATTATGATGGAAGTTGGAGTTTACGATTCTTAACGATGCACTAATACCAGCCTCTAGAGACAAGCAAGAACCCGAACTTTTTAAAGCTGCAGATTGGTTGTAACAAAGCGATTCTGCAATGAATATATCAGCCCTGTCTGACTGAACCACAATGCATTGTGCTTTTAGGTTGTTATGGCAGGTCAGGAAGATGAATTTTGCTTTAGTTTCTCTAGCATGTGAGAAATATAAACGTCGTAGATGATTTCTGTGACTTTTTCCATTGTGATTTAGATCGACATCTTCGAATATTTCGTTTGTAATCGCATTTGGAACGTTAAGATGTAGGAAGGATCCTCCATTGTAAGAACTTTTAACTTTAGTGCAAAAAACGTGAATGTATACAGGACAAGAACATTTTTTTGCGACTGATCTGATCTTTACGATTTCTCTTCCAGTAGAGTGCCAGTAAAGACCGTTTCTTTTAAAGACTACATCTTTGATTGTAAGTGTAACATTTTGACTTTTTGCTTTAGTGTTATTGAGTAAAAGGAAACTGATGCATTGTGAATTGTTTTGGAAAGTTGAACTACCTTTAATGTCAAGCTGGAAAGATGTAATGTTCTGTATTTTGATGCCCAAGGCTCTTGAAGCATTATGAAAGGAACAGTTGTGGATTGTGATGCGTTGGCAGTCATTACAGTTGAGTGGAGTTTGTTGAAAAGCGATTCCTGAAAACTCTAACGTAAATGTAAGGTGCATCCCATTTGCCTTCTGGAAATGAAATCCTCCTGTACATGAAACGTGTGGGGTGGAGTAGAAGCTCCGAACAGTCAAGCTCTTGTTCACGTAAATACCTGGATGATACATTAAAATATTTCGATCGTTTTTGCAACCATATGGGCGTTTCTTGGTCCCACGGCCGTCCAGATAAATGATCCCATCATAGCCCACGCGACGAACCGCTTGGGCAATGGACTGGCAAGGGAGACTTTGACTTCCACAAGTTTTAGTGTCATTTCCATGAAGAGAAACATAAACATTCACAATGTTTGAACCTGAAATTTTTACAGATCAGAGTTTCATTAAGTGTTTATAAGAAATTGCATAAGAATTTCAAGAGTATCATCGTTAATGAAAGCGCTTTTCATTTGGAATTAAAACTTTTCTTAATCCTGCTGTCCTCTACGGTGGCCCACAGAGGACACGTCACATCTTTTTTTTTAATCACGCGATAAAATCAAAATATCGCGCGATACATGATAAATTATCGCGCGATAAATGGAAATTATCGCATGAGAAATTAAAAATTATCGCGTAATTAATTTTTAAAAATGGGGCATGTCCTCTATGTTCTACGTTGGCCCATAGAGGGCATGCCAAATCAAAATATCAGGCGATAAATGGAAATTATCGCACAATAAGGATAAATTATCGCGCGACAGATGAAAAATT